GGGGGTAAACAGAAGGGGCAAGAGCAGCGCTGTAGGGTGGATGTGATCATCTTTCCCAAGGAGATTCTCTCTCCAACAAGGAGCTACTGAATTATCATGAGGGAAAAAATCCTCGGTGCAACCTTCCTAGCCTTTTTCTCACCAGTGCAGCTTTCCGTTTATTTAAACGTATTCCTCATAAGTCCCAGTGGGAGCGCTGGGCTGTGTCCTTTTAGGAAATCAAGGAGTCTCACCTCTCAGACTCCTCCCAAATGGTTACCAAGACCTGCTGAGCTGATCTCTCCTGCTTTGCGTTCACCTGACCTAGCCCTTAAAAGCCACTGGTTTGAACAGACCGTGCTCCTAGGTTATACTGGTATATCCAATACTTGTCCCCAGTATGATTCAGTCCATAAACATGTCCTCAACCTAGCCAAGATGTTCAATTTAAAATTAAAAATGCCAAATCACGTGAGAGCTCAACTTCCAGAGCTACAGAATCCATGGTAATCCTAAATCCTCTTCCATCTCCTTCTGAACATGAGGTCTTCCCAACATTCCTTGAAATGCGTCATCAACCTGAAAGTGGTTCTTTTCTTGTGGCTCAACACTTTAATAAACATATTTACAAAGCTTCGATGATTTTAAGATGTCCGCTTGAGTTTTATTTAAAACCTGGTATTAGCCTTGCCCTCAATTTTTAATCCATGGCACACAAAAAAATTATATTAAAAAAATGTATTTTAAAGTACCCCAGTGAAACTTAAGGTGCCCTGGTGGGGTAGTGGGCTATGAGGTGAGCAGCTTAAAACAAGGTCAGTGGTTCAAACCCATCAGCCACTCTACAGGAGAAAGACGAGGCTGCCTGCTCCAGCAAAGATTTAAAGTCCTGAAAACCCAAAGGGCTGATGCTACTGTGCCTTACAGGCTTGCTATGAGTTGGAATCCACTCGATGGCGATGAGTTTGGTTTGAGTTTAATGAGACTGAGCCAAGTGTATCACCGAGAGAACTCGTTAGCCACTGAATGCAGACATGTTTAATATGTTTCATTTGGAATAAACCAATACAAGTAATGAAATCAAAGACCTGGAACAGTACTTGGGCTTCCTTCCTTTGTCTTATGTTTGCTTCCCTCTGAGTAGAATATAAACTACACAGGGGAGGGCGGGTTTGCTGGTCTTTTTATTCACTGCTTTATTCCCTGATCCTTAGAATGGGGTCTGGTACATAGTAGGCACTCATTGAACATCTGCTACAGAATAAGCAGCATTCTGAGGAGCCCCAGCGCCTCACTGGTGAAAGGTCCATTCGGTAACAGTGCACACCCACCGGCCGGTCTGTGGGAGAAAGCTGTGACACTCGGAGTCCAATGCTCCGGGGCCAGAGGAGTTGGAGCCAACGTGAGAGCACTGGATTGGGTTTAGGTTTTAGACAGCGTCATCAGGAGTCAGGGCTCGTGTACAGGACGCTTTCCTCCCAACAGCAGTGTCCCTGCTCTCACCTGTAAGGTCTCGCCTGAGGCCTTTCCTAGAAGAGCCCCTTCAAGTGGTGCACAGCCCCTTTGTCTTCTAGGACACCTAGAGGTCGAAAAACGTCACGTACGTATCTGGTCGCATCTTTCTAGCTCAGCTGTCTCTCCTGCAGCTGTTGTGTAAAGCATAGGGCCTGCCACACAGGAGGGCTCATCAAAAGAAAACATGTGATCAAAGAATTATCACCAGAGTCTCAGGTGATGTTCAAGAAAACCCTTTCAAACTAAGTAACTAAACTGATTCTGGAACAAATGT